TTCATGATCTCACACTTCAGTTCCTCTTCGGCCATTGTAGTATCAAAGAAACCAGGAGTGTCGATCAATGTGGTGCCTATTCCGTTAATGGGTTTGGATTCCGCTAGAGTATAACTTGTTTCAGATTTCGGAGACGTTTTTACCTTCAGTAGACTGTCTCCCAGTATGGTGTTCCCAAGGCTGCTCTTTCCACTACCGGTTTTTCCCAGCAGCACAATCTTTGTTTCATTTGATCCTAGACCGGAAAGGTATTCAATATGTTTGATCAGTGACATGTTTTCCCGTCTTATCCCTTCCAAGAATTTTAGGGGCAAAAAAGCCCAACATTACTCTAGATCCATGGACCTCTTTAAATCGTAAAGCTCTCACATACAATGCACATATGTTTACATTAAACTGTGTTCAATGCAACCATTTCTAAAAGTACTTGCATTGGTACTGTCAGAGAAAGCTTGCAAAAACAAGAAGAAAAAGTCACATATCAGCACAGAAGAGGGAAACACATGAACCTACATCCAATACAGCTTGGCAGTCTTAAAATTTGATCAAGTTCCTATTATTCCTGCATAATGACTCTGGTCTGCAGATAGAAAATTTAAAAAAAATAGCAGTCTGACATCCATTTACTGTCTAAACCCATGTAAGTCACTCAGGGTGGCTTAAGGACCAGGGAAATTATCAGTTGCAATAAAGGGAGAACTGTGTTTTCTTGTTTCTGTTGCCAGTGGGTAAGACCATGTTAGGTCATAAGTTAAATTCTTGCTGTAGCCAATTAAGGAAGTGGAAAAAAAACTGCGTCAGCAAAGTATAAGCAGGATTTTTGCATTGGCCCACAGCCAAAAGCACAGTTCTTGTCTGTTCCCCCATCCTCCTTACTCCTTATCAGGATTTTGTGGCAACAAATTAGCTCTTATTGCATTTTACCACTGCTGACACTTGCTAACTGATTTTAAACAATGTTAGACGTCTAGAGCAGACAAAGGACGGGACGTCACTTTCCACACTGAAACCAGATTTTGCTCAAGCTTTACTTTCATTTTGATTATTTATCATCAAAAAAAGGTTTAGCTGTGCTGGCTGGCAGCTCTTGTTACATCTATCCTGATTTTCCAGGAAATTCTCCAGGAAATTCGGTATCCTTCTTATCGAAGAGGCAAGAGTCATTAGAAGTTCTTGGGTTTCCGATCCATGTATCTACGTGGATACTTTGATGTGCAGTGGAAGTGAAGCATATTTTTACGTGTGTATGAGGTTTTCCAGATTTTTTTTTACCGAGAATGACAGAAAAGTAAATGTAACTCACCGTCCATTGCAAGAAGAAAGTCAGAGCAGGTGTAACGATCACAAGGTCAGATGTGTGAATGTGCGCCCTTGGTAATTTCCTGCTTTTGACTCGGCTTGAAAGTTTAGTTTCACTTTAGATTTGGCTGCAAACCAATTTACACCCGCAATATCTAGACCCAACCCTCTGAGGATAGAAAGGCCTCACGTACAGAGACAGAAAACATTTTGCATTTCTTGACTTGAATATTGACTTGACTTGAACAATACAAGTTGGTTTCACACTAGAATTTCAAGGAGAAAGAAGGACGGGATTGGGCAATTCAGTTTAAATGCATCAACGTAGATGACAGGTTCACCTTCTGTTGTCCGTGGCTGACATGAAAATGTCAAAATCTGCAAAACTTGTAAATGCAAGAGGAGAAAGAAGTACTATGTAAGGGCATATCTTATATCTCTTCAGAAGCAGGTCTGTAGAGAGGCCTTTGCAATGAGGCAAAGGCCTCTATGACTGGTTGAAATGAGCGGGATTTACTGTTCTTTTCTTGCCTTAATCTTGAATATTGGGCTTTGCCAGCTTGGAGAAAGAGAAATGCTTTTCAAACATATCAAAACACGAGATCCAGATGTGCGGGTTCAAGATAGAATCAGCTGATCAACATAGGTAGCAGTGCAATGAATTGAGACAAAGACCACCAGATCATCTCTTTAATTGTGCAGTGGATTGCAAGAAACACTTGTTGAAGAAAGAAATACATTTGGGTAAATATGCCCCCTTTAAAAAAACTTTTTCATCACTTCCACAATTCAGCAAAGGCCAAGTTGGGTGAGCGAACAACAAAACTGCTTGTCTTGCTCCCTGTAATAACCGGTTCTCCTGAGGCACTGTGTTGTTTGTCTGATTGGCTCAAGAGGACTCAACCTCTGACTGAAGCAGAGTGGCAATGTAGAAAAAAAATTAGCTTGAATACCCCAAATTCCCCTCTTCCCCCCTCTGCGGGATGCGGAGTAAACTCTCCCCAACCTGCCAAAAGAGCTGTGACCAGTTAGGGTGTGGTCAGAGAACATCTAAAGGTCTCCTGGATGGTCTTCTTCCTGGGACCTAAGCAAAGTATCTTTTAGGCCCTGTGGATTGTGGAGAGGGACTTTTTGTACTTGCCTCCCTCAGATCATCAACTGGGACATCAGTGAAGTAACACAGATGTCGCAATTCTACACCAGAGGAGGCGGTAAAAGCGAACGTAAACTGTGCCATGTCTTCCTCTGTACAAGCGGGTTTTTTAAGCTCGTAGGATGCCGGTCGCGTATGAGTTACAGAGTGAACAACCATGCAGTAATGCGATCTCAAGTGTAAATGAAGCCTCATCTACTTTGAGAACCCGAAGGTGTACCTTTGAAAGAGCTGAAGGAGAAAGCCAAAGAGTGAGGTCTTGATGAAGATATGGAAACAAGGAAAGGGTTGAAAAGCCACTGTATTTCATATCCATTTACTATTTACGCATCACATGTATCTATATTATATTGAATAAATATATCACAGTACTCGACAGTATGTATGAAAATATCTAAAAACCTGCACTGCGCCAAAGGAGAAGTAAACGTTTGCCCCTCAGGTCCAATGGCCCATAACATTTCCACCTCTCGTTATCATGAGTTCTGGTCTAAACCTGAGCTCTGAATTGCGGCTGCTCGAGTTCAAGATGTTATCTGATGAGCAAACAGGGCAAATAACAGCTCCTCTGGCTTAATCGACGACGGACTTTATTGCACACTAATGTGCACCGCATTTATTCAAGTGTAAGTAAAGGAGGCTTTTAACATGTTGACCCTGCTCTAATCCGAGGCTGGACATGTCTGTTTAACCACGTCGGGCGCAGCGGCATTCCTCCGAAAAAGCAGGTAATTCAGGTTAATGGTACACGTTAACCATTGGACTCAAACGCCACACCCATGAGGCAAACACACACTCCTGTTGTGTGTGAAGCGAAGGAGTGTGTGCGTGCTGTTGTCAAGAGTTTCCATAATGGAATAGACGTGTTGGCATCAGTGCCCAAAGTTTGCACCACAACACAACAGGAACTAATAGTGGGTCATGTTGCAAAAGCTGTTATTTTAAGATTAGGCCGGTTCATTGAAGTGGAGAGCGAAATTGGCTTGAGTGGCTTATGGCCAGGGCTGGGCTGATGAATAACTGTCGACGTGATGTTTCCTCCTGTGTGACGGCTGTAACTTGGGCGCACTCATCCATCCACCTGCTCTGCTGTCACAAGCAGCCACGCCAACCCAGAAATGTAAGTAAGAGCAAAATTCAGTATGAGCCGAAATTCTAATGTTCATAGATGCTTTTTTTTTTTTACAACTAAATCTGGCTGAGTGAGCAGAGTCAATCTAATGAGAGTCAATATTTGGTCACAGACAGTTAAAACGAGGAAATGTTCAATCTGAGTCTGACACACACACACTGCTACACAGAAAAACTCTGAAATGTTTTCAATACTGCCATTTTTAGCCCTTAAGGGCATATTTTTTGAGCTGCCATGTCTTTAATTTTCTAAGTGATTAGGTCAGAGGTTTAGGGGGCAACAGTTGAGTAAATTATGAGTTGATCACAATTGATGCTTTAATCGCCTTTGTATAAAATTGGGGGACACATATATGTGCATTGTGTTACAAATATTTCAGTATCTATGCTAAGCTAAGCAATTGATTGGGTCAGGTTAGCATAGCTATATTTAAAAACTTAAAAACGTCAGTTTGTAGTTTTGCCAAATGTCCATTGGCCAAACTATTCTTTTGTCCTTTGTTACAGAACAGCATTAATGGAAACTATTGCTACCCGAGTTGGTCTTCACACACAGTTAAAAATCACAGAAGAAATTTGATTGAATTATTCAGCAATAAAAAAAAATCCTCATGGGTTTATTGGTGTCTTTCCCTTTAGAACCAGGTTTTTGGGTCATATTGATGAAGCAGAAGTAGACATTTTCCATCAGCCGCCGGTTATGAATGTGCCAGTGTTGCTATTATGACCTGCTATTATGTTGATCTGAGTAAAGAATGGGTGTGTTTGCATGTTCTAAGTGGAGAAAACTGTGACTAATGCACTGGCCACACAAAACACAACAAGGCGACTCCACGAGTCCTGTATTACAGGAAAAACATAATGCAGTTTTAATGCTCCTGTACACACAATAAAATCTTTTTGTTTCTCTATTCATTTCAAAACGTTCAAACAGCGCTACTTCCTCCTGTGGTGGCGATTCCTCTTGCTGATCACAACTTCTCCACCTCTTGTCATACAGATAATGGCCTCTTTGGGAAAAACGCTGCCAGAGGAACAGTTCCAATGCGCCATCTGTCGCCGTGTGTTTACCGACCCGGTGACCACTCCTTGTGGACACAACTTCTGCCACGCCTGCATCCAGGCCGCGTGGGCCGACGGCGAAATGTGCCGGTGCCCCGCCTGTGACCGGTCCTTCAGCCCGCGGCCGGAGCTGAGCGTCAACGCCGCTTTCAAAGAGCTGGCCGACGCCTTCAGAGCGATGGCGTCCGGCTCGCCGGCCCCCGCGCTGACCGCGGCCGGGCCCGGCGAGGTGGCCTGCGACGTCTGCGCCGCCGCCGCCGCCGCCGCCGCCTCGGCGCCGGTCAGGGCCCTCAAGTCCTGCCTGGTCTGCCTGACCTCCTACTGCGAAGGCCACCTGGAGCCCCACCGGAGGGTGGCCACCCTGAGGCTGCACAGGCTGATGGACCCGGTCCAGAACCTGCAGGACAGGATGTGCGGGAAGCACCAGAGGCTGCTGGAGATGTTCTGCAGGGACGAGCAGATGTGCGTGTGCCGGTTCTGCACCGAGACCGAGCACAAAGGCCACCGGACCGTGAGCGTTGAGGAAGAGAGCCAGGAGAGGAAGGTATGTGGAGGCCCTCCTGTATCGTAGGGCGTGGGTTTGGGCTACAGGGAACATGGGAGACAGGAAGAACGCCCCATTTTGATACACCAGACCCAATGTTTTTTGTTTTTTTTAATCTTGTCCACTTTAGCTCTTATAATTAGTTTGATACAACTCTGATAAACAACTGCACATGACATGTTAAACTGGGTTTTTATCTATTTGAAGGTAAACTAAGATCAAAGAACGCCCATTTCAAAAACTGAACGGCACAAACCGCCTCTACAGTAATTCTGCAGTAATAATTTAGCTTAAATTTAAGAATAACTCTTCTCGTTCTCAACGGATAAAACCTTAAAACTGAAAAAGTGTATACTTTTTTTTCAAAGGACTTTGTGTCTTGATTGATTTTCGACCATCAGCTCAGAGTTTCGATCATTTTCATTTCCCGTCAAGGTCCAGGTGAAGAAGACGGGAGCAGATTTACAGCAAATGACCCAGGAGAGACTGAAAAAAGCGGAGGAGATTAAAAACTGCCTGAAGCTCAGCACGGTAAGTCTGGATGGATAGAATATGTATGCTTTTATTTATTTGTTTTTTGTTGGACCGAGCTGGTGAATGTAAAGTCATAAACATTTTCAGTATAGGAATTTTTTCAATACTGTCTAAAATATGAGCCTGACCTGAAATCAAATGGAATCATCATAATTCATGGCTTGCTTACGCTCCACCAAATTGAATAAAATGTACTCTTATCAAGACTGTAGATACACAGATTTCCCCACTAGCATAGAATCAATTAAGTTACATTGTGTTGTTGCCCATCTGGTATGCTGTTAGCAAGTTTTATCTGGGGGATGTTTTGCTTTTTTAAATGAATCCACTGATCCTCACTGCCGCGTGGGCTCATACTGAATCCCGCCGTGTCTCTTTTTTTTTCATCCAGCTGAATGCGGGGAAGGAGACGACGGAGAGCGAGCGTCTGTTTGCGGCGCTGAGCCGCTCCGTCGAGGAAAGACGAGACGAGGTCAGCGCCGAGATCAGGGCCAAGCAGGAGGCTGCACAGAAAAGAGCGGAGGAGCTGGTGGGTGAGCTGCAGCAGGAGGTGGCCGAGATCCGGAGGCGGAGCGCGGAGCTGGAGGCCCTGGGGGACACTGAAGACCACCTGCACCTTCTCCAGGTTGGCCACGCCAGACTGCGATGGGCCATGAGGGCGAGGGTCAATGATAATGTTAGAAAACATGAATTGAAAACAGGAGGGAAGATGGGTTTCGGTGTCTTGAAATGTGATACCTTCATGGAACTCCTCCATCTCCTTCCCTCTGGCAGAGCTTGCCTGCTCTTGTGTCACCCCCCGCCACCAGACCATGGACGGAGATCAGCATCTACCCGGAGCTCTGTGTGGGGACGCTGAGGAGGGCGCTGTCCAAACTGGACGTCACCATAAAGAATCAGCTGGACAGTTTGAAGACGCAAGGTGAAGTACGCTCAGATGTGTTGCCACCATTTAGTTCAAGTCGAGCTATTATTTTTCACAAATGTCTCCGGGGTCTTCTGTGTTCTCATGTGAATTGCATCTCTCTTTTCTACATCTCTGAATATTTTCTAGATGGAAGAAATAGATAGATAGAAATAAAACAAAGGATCCAAATGTATTATTTTGTGAAAATTGCTATGTCAACACTAAGAGATGTAAGTGTCAGAAAAACTGTGTAATATACATAAATTAATTTCCAAACTTGTCTTTGTTTTTGTTTTTTCCAGAGATGAGGAGGATGCAGAAATACGCAGGTATGAGCAGCCTCCACACTGACATCTGTTAAAACCTTCTCATCAGCTAAAGAAACTGCAGTTTTTCACATCATCCTTCACGGTTTAAGTATTACTTGAGGCCAGTAGTTAATTTTTAACCCAGGGGTGTCGAACTCCTGCAGGTTCTAGACATTTTCCTGCTTCTGTGCACCTGCTTGCGGTTAAATGGATGTACTTAAGACATTATTAAGCCCTTTTACAGGCCTGTTAACTGCATATTCATGTGACTCTGGAGTGCTGAAACAAGGAAACGCCTGAAACCTGCTGTCACGGCCTTTTAAATTTTCTTAACCAAGTTCTTAAAATCCCCAAAAAAGGCCGTCGGTGGCAACAGGTGGGTTTTGATTTAGACGCACTTGCTTTATTGCTTTGCAAAATTATAAGAAAATAACAAACAAAATTCCATTATCACTCTGCTCCAAACAAAAAGTAACAAAGGTGATCCAAAAGGTAAAACAAAAGTATAGCGTGTCTTATGGCGTGTTCAAAAAATCTTTTTCCCAAACCTCACGTCACCACACCTGACATTTCCTCCCCCAAACCAACCCCTGGCTGTTTTAAGTCTTCTAAATTAATGGGAGGAGCTTGGAAAATTACTAAATAAATCCCAACAATTAAACAAAAAATGGTTCTTTGCAAATTAAACATTTCAACTACTTAAAATTAAACAAAACATGTGAATGACGAAAAGTTAACTTAAATGGCCACAACACCTGCAGCACCAGGAGTTTGACGCCTGCGCTCTAAGCCATTCAGTCATTCACCTTCCTCGTTACACCTAACCTTGGTGATTTCCAATAAACTAGATCGAGCTTCCTACTTGGTGACTTTTGACCATCGTGGTCACGTGCAGGTTGAGCAATCAATGTAAAAAAATAAATACGGCAGAGGGATACATTCGGACTTTTGTGGCAATGTTGTCCGAACCATGTCTTATGTCTGCAGTTGACGTAGTGATGGATCCACACACTGCCCATCCAAACATTGTCCTGTCGGCTGATGGAAAGCAGGCAGGCCGAGGGGAGCTGCTGCAAATCGTGCCCGAGAACCCCCAACGCTTTGACCCCGTCATCTGTGTTCTGGCCAAGAAGGGTTACCTGTCGGGAAGGTTCTACTTCCAGGTGGATGGCTTTGCCTTTCCGTCATAGCCAGGCTGCAAAAATACTGAAAGTACCACTCGTGCTCATAATGACTTTCTGCTGTAAATTAGGTCGCCGTGGGGCAAAAGACCTACTGGGACCTTGGTGTGGTCAAGGAGACCGTCAACAGGAAAGGTATGATCACCTCCACGCCGGAGAACGGCTTCTGGACGGTGCGTTTGAGGAACGGCGATGAGTATCGCGCCCTGGACTCCCCCTCTGTCCTCCTCACTCTTCGGGAAAGGCCCCAGACCGTCGGAGTGTTTGCAGATTATGAGGAGGGGACGGTGTCCTTTTTCGACGTGGATGCCGCCTCTCACCTCTACACCTTCACTGACTGTGTGTTTTCCGAGAGGATCTTCCCCTTTTTCAGTCCAGGGGTCTTTGATGAGGGGAAAAATGCGGAGCCACTGATCATAAAGGCTGTCGGTCATCAGACTTCCACTTGAGGAGGAGCCTCTAATGGCAATCTGTAGATTGGATTTATACTTATACAGATCTGGTTCTGTATTTATCAGTAATATATTGTTCTATCACTACTTGGGCTGTAATATGGAGTGAAATTGATAGCACTTGGAGGTGGCTTCAGGAAGCCCTCAAATGGATTCTGAATAAAAAATCTGTATTTGTTAAACTTCCTTTTTGAAATATTGTGTTTTTCAAGCTGTGTTTCCTTAACCACTAAAACATATATTTTCTCCGATTTTCAAAAATTTCCTCTGGATACTATGCGGACTGTAAAGATCCTTCAAAAAATATTATTTGAAATGTTAATCATGAAACTGTCCAGGGTGTACCCTGCCTCTCGCCCGTTGACCACTGGGATAGGCTCCAGTTCCCCCCGCGACCCCATCAGGGAATAAGCGGTATTGATAATGGATGGATGGATGGATGTTAATCATGAAACATTAAATGTACATCTCTGCCATTTAGAGGACAATATTAAGAGCCATGTGAACCACAGAAACGGGTGGAAGCAGTGTGCAGTAACAGACTGTGGCCGCTAGAGGCAGCCAACTCTCCGCTTCCCTCTTCAGACTGCTTGTACGCATGCTCGGCCGCCAGGAAGAAGGAGTAGCCTCTTTTCATCATGGCGGCGACCATAGACAACAGCAATGCCGTCCAGGCGACAAAGAAAAAACACCTCGGAATCCCGGAGGCGGTATTTGTGGTGCGTTAACCCTCACATTTCGCCAGGTGTTACCTGCCTGTAGTCGAATTACACCGTTTTTGGTGAAGCCGGCGTCTCCGTGCGTCACACTTGCTACCGGCTAGGTAGCTAAGCTAACGGTGGAGCTAGCATGGTTAATCCTGCCGTGTGTGCGGGATGGGCGGCTGCTGCTTTCCATCTATGGGCATTACTGGATGTGTCATAGCCACTTCTCACATTTAGTGTGCGCTCTACCCGTTATAGGCTTTAAAATATTATTTTTTTCATCAGCGTAATCGATAGCTGCAGTGGTGGCAGTTCTGAATATTTCCCCATTCATTGTTCGGTCAGATTGTTACCAGATCCTTACACTTAAAATTTCGAGCAGTTAAATGTAAGAGAAGGGGGGAAATAAAACTTATTTGCAGTTAGTTTACAGCTTCCACTCTTTAGAGAGGCTTTTGAGGGGTTTTTAGTTCTCTTTAACAAGAAGATATTTGCCTAAACTTCAACAATGAATTCTTATATCATTTAACGAGCCTTTAAATAAAATACAAATATATCTTCGTTCATGAGGGACACATCCACGAGAAATAATCTTTTGAATCCGTATGGCTGCTGTTCAAATACAACAATTCCACAATAAAATAAAAAAGAAGGTAATGGAAGCAAAACTTGCACGCTTGTCTTAAAATTTTTAGGGTTGTACATGTGGGGAAACTGAAAACGTCCTTGTAATAAAATAAAAATAAACAGCTCACCATAAGGGATTGTAGTGAATGAATAAATGACTTTTTGTTAACATTTGAGCTTTTCATATTAGTTAATTGTTAATCCTTTGATATTTATCTGCAAAGATTAAGGCTCATCAGACTCCAGCTGTTAATTCATGCTTGCTTAAATGTAGTTTTATGGGTCCTTTAAAAAGGGAAATGGATAGACATCACCTTGTTTCTTTCCATTTGTTGGTAAAGGCCAACAAGGAGGATGGCCTAGACTCCTTTATATGTTCTACAGAGTCCTTCTATGTGTCCAGCCACTCGTTTAAAGCGGAGCGCTACCAGGCATAGCACTCGGATCCGTCATTGTTTTAGGAATGGATTGTGGTCTCGGGTCTCCTTAGACTCGCCCCCATGATTTTGCTTTCGTCTCCAGGAGGACGTCGACTCGTTTATGAAGCAGCCCGGCAACGAGACGGCAGACGCAGCGCTGAGGAGGCTGGACGAGCAGTACCAGAAATACAAATACATGGATCTCAATCTGTCTCAGAAGAAAATGAGGTACCACAAACCTAAACAACCCTTTTTACTCGCCCTGTTTCTATCACTCGATCTCAGAGTCTGTGACCATCTTTGCTTAAATGTGACCCCTTTAAAAATGACAGTGGCACATGTTCTCAGGTTCCATTAAGACGTATTACTGATCTGTTGCTGTCTAACCCACAAGCCAAACTTTAGAAACCACCTTGTGAAAACAGTTGAATTCTCTTTTCTTTTAGGTTGAAAAACCAGATCCCACAAATCACACAGACGCTAGAAATCCTACGACACATGCAGAAGAAGAAGGTAAGGCTGTTGTGATCTGTTTTGGGCAGTACAGCCTAGCGTTTAGTTTAGATTTGAATTTCCAGTCGGCGACGGAAGCCGAGCAGGAAACGGGAAGTCAGCCGCTGACGGCCGGGTCATGGCTAATAGTAACAAAGCTTTCCAGAAGGAATGTTGGATTAAAACAGCAATGAACAACAAAAAAAAGCCGAGTTAACCCTCAACCCACTTTGTTCATGTTTACATCCAGGTCTCTCTTTAGTATTTTTGCTGAATCACGACTCTATAAACTCCTTGGCTGTGGTGGGGAAAAAAAACCAAAACAACTTTTTGTCATCGCAGGACACAACAGAAGCCATGGAAACGCACTTCCTATTGGCCGACAACGTTTACTGCAAGGCCTCAGTGCCTCCCACTGACAAAGTGTGCCTATGGTTAGGGGTAAGTTTTATCTTTTGATTTTTAAGAAATCAAATGCTACGTGCCGGCAGCCGGCCGGTGGCCCAAGTTATGCTCGATTCCGAGACAGTTTTGGAGTAAATCGTTCGGATCTGGGGGTCAAAGCTGCAAAAATCTGGCGGTTGCCGGGGTGTCAAACTGCGGACCCTTGAGGGTGTCCTGCTAGTTTTTTACATCGTCCTGCTGCTTCTGATGAAGTAGGTCTCTTGAAGACCTGCTGACGGTGCATTGCTGTGAAACCCGGCTGCAGAGCAGCCCCTGAGGCACCTGAGTTTGACACCCATGCTTCACAATCGCATCACAATCCAGTTAAAGTTTGGTCACGCGATCAGAAACCAGAAAAAGACTAACCCCAGGCGTCTGTGCTGCTCCGCCCCCCCCCGAAGGCGAACGTCATGCTGGAGTACGACATCGACGAGGCCCAGGCTCTCCTAGAGAAGAACCTGTCCACGGCGTCTCGCAACCTGGAGACGCTGGAAGACGATCTGGACTTCCTCAGGGACCAGTTCACCACCACCGAAGTCAGTATCCTTCCACCAGTGCAGTCCGCTCCTCCACGGGTAACATTTTAGTTTAGTTTTTCTCTTTTTTTTTGTGCTCCCTTATTGTTCAGGCACTTTGTTTTCCTGGTTCGACGTATAGAAAGTTTTCAAAATCTCAAAATGGCAACAGACGAAAAGGGTTTGGGAGCATTTTTGACACAGAATCCGTCTACTGCCATGATTTCTCAGCGTGTGGAATTACGCTGAACATCCCGGTAAAGTCGAATGCACTGTCAAGTCAGAGCAGTCTATCGTTTATAAGTAGCGAGAAATATGAAACAGCCTCGGCAATCTGTCAAAAAAAAATTAGCTGAAGAAGTCATTTACTTTGTTGACCTTTTAACAAAACAGGATCTGATGTGTTTTAGGGCACTTTTTTGGGGAAAAAAAAAAGAAAAAGAAAGCGCCTCGCACCTTGCATGTTTACACAAAGCCCTTTTATTCTAGTCAGCCTTTTAATCCAGACGTGATGGGACTGTCGTTTTATAATGGAAAGGCATTTAAAGAGTTACATGAGGGAATAATGATTTGTTACTCCAGAGAAGCTCCCATTATCCTCCACCCTGTGTTGATGCCCGAGGACTGATCTGAGACTCTCAGGTGAGAGCCGTATTCCCGTTGTGTCTTTAACTCCTCGCCCCCCTCAGACATGGCACGAGTCTACAACTGGGACGTGAAGAGAAGGAGCAAAGAGAACCTCCTGAAATCAGTCGAAAAGTCTTAAAAAAAACCCTCATTTTGTGCTCCCCCCCCTCCCTCCCCGACGCAAGGAAACGTGAACCCCTCCCAAACCCAGAACCCCCTGCGTGTGTGTGCGGTCGCCACCCCCCCCGGGCCGGGGGGGGGGGGGGGGTGTCTGGAGGCGCCGTGGTCATCCCGTTCCATCCCTGTCCAGCCGAGCTCGCACCCCCTCCATCGCCACTGTTTTTCCCTGTTGATTTGCTACTTTTTAAAGTATTTTTTCAAGTAAAAACGTAACAAAAAGGCAAGTGAGGCGGTTTTGTGTTCTTTTTAATGGTTGCAGTATGTTCTGTTCTTTTTTTTGTTTTGTTTTCTGGTCCTTTTCTCCCTTAAATCACCCCCCCCCACCCCCCGGACTTTCACCCGCCCGTCTGTCTCATCCTTTAACAGCGCTCACAAATGGTCGCTCTTCTGAGTGGAGTCTCTCTGTTCAGCAGGTTGATGATTATCAACAGCAGGTGAATGAAGAATAAAATGGTTTTGCCTCTCGGATCTTGTTTTCAGTTACTGAAGGACTTCTTGTCTGTTTTTCCTCAAGGATCGACTTTAGTCTGGTTTCAAAGCCGCCGCCCACCCTCCACCCTTTGGCCTCCCACACGCCACCGTCTCCTCCACCCCCCCACCCCCACCCCCCCACCGCTGCTCCGTCTGTATTTATTTGTCCCTCACTGTACCCGTTACACGATGATTGAAGTAAAAGATGAACAAATTGGCAAAGACTCGAGACTTTGAAGGGCTGCTCTGTGTTGGGGGGGACAAAAGTGTGTTTTTCTGACGTTTAGAAGGCAATTTGATTTAGTGTGGGGGGGGGGGGAAATCTGACCATCAGTTCGGGGGTGATTTTGGTAGCGATTGGAGCATTTTTACCAAAAACGCTTTAAGTCGCACGGGGAGGGCTGTGAATCTGATAGGGGGACATACTGAGAAAAAAAATATTATAAGATAATTCGTTTGACTTGATAAGTGCAAGAAATATAAGCAGAAACGGATGAAAATGATGTAAGTGGATGAATAACAAGCCTAGTGCTTGACTATGACTATTGTGAGGTTAGATACTGAACTTTACTGGCTCGTTGCTGATATTCCTGTCGACTCTTCCCAGGAGAACTGACCCCCCCCTTCCCAAACACGTTCCCATTTTCTTTCCCTTCATTCTCCCTTGAGGAAAGCTAGAAGTCACCTCTGTGCGGCCCAGCACGCCATGACGGCCGCTTAGCTGATGGGATTTTGCACCATCGAACCTCCCCTGACGGTCCTTTAGAAACGAGGTAAGTAAGAACACTGAGGGAATGCTCAATCCCTCCCCCACGGGGGGTGGGGGCGAAAAAGGAGGGAGGGAGCATGGATTTAACGGGGGTAAATAAAAACGGTCCGAGCTTAAAGACGCCAGCTTTAATTATGTTGTCTGTCGGCTCAGTGCACCATCAACGTGTGACGCGACTAGCTGAAAGTAAAGCTTGTTTTTTCATGCTTGATTATTGAACAGCGGAAGGCGTAAGTAAATATTCAACCTAGCATTTTCACAGTCAAAGGTTAGACAGCCTGAAGTAGGGAGGAGTAGGCATTTTGATAGAAAACCATCTACCTATAATACCCCATAGAAAAGACAAGAAGAGAAAAATGCTGAGTCAGCATTCACGCAATGGTTGCATCATCAAGCAGTTCCCTTTAAGCAAAGCCAGTGTGTGATAAAGGGATTAACCAGGCCTATTAAAAAGAAAACCCATCACATAAAACATACAATAAAAGGATGATGGATACTATTTAGTGATTTAAAAAAAATTGACTTCATCTCTCTTTTTTCAGTTACTCAACATCACCTGCACTTTTGCTCATTAATAGTTCTAGTAGAAACCAAAATATATATATTTTTTTACATAACGAAGCCAATAGGCAAAAAAATGAGTCATAAAAAAGGGCGTCTTTTAGAGATTTTTTTTACTGGCTGATATGCTGTAATACCAGTTTATTTTATGTACTGAGCCTTGACTAAGAGTTAAGACTGCCTTTTTACAGAATCTTTAAACCATTTAATTAGACAACACACCCCCTGCAGCTGTTTCTCTCACCAGCCAACAGGAAGAGTAAATATGTAAGATCCTGGTGGTGTTTTTGTAGTGGGATATAAATCGACCCTCAGGGCATTTTGAAAAAGCTCCGGTTTACTCACACAGGATTAGTTTTGTTTCTTAAACGGGTCAAAACTGCACAAACGGGAGGTTGAGCTCCACAGCTGTTACGACATCCCGTTCTCATTCTCAGAGGTTACTCGTCCACCTTTGGTTTTGTAATAATTAGTGTTTTTTTTTAGATCTCACTTCATTTGCCCATCCCAGATTCTCAGTTTAAGCATCAAGCAAACTATCCATCCATCCATTATCGTAACCGCTTATTCCCTAATGGGTTCGCGGGGGGAACTGGAGCCTATCCCAGTGGTCAATGGGCGAGAGGCGGGTTGCACCCTGGACCGTCCACCAGTCCATCGCAGGGCCACACAGAGACACACAAGGACCAACAACCAAACATACCCACACCTAAGGGCGATTCGCAATGTCCAATCAAGCTAACATGCAGGTTTTTGGACGGTGGGAGGAAGCCGGAGAACCCGAAGAAAACCCACGCAGACACAGGGTTAAACATGCAGACTCCACCCAGAAAGGTCCTGATTTTTGTCTGACATTTGGCCTTCCCTGTGCAAGACGGTCTGGAGTCTGCGTGACCTCAGTATTATCATCGGACGCCGTCTCATTTCCAGCTCGTGACATGCTGGTGCTTTTCTGAGAGCCCCAGCCTCCGATTTCTTTCCAGCCTGCGTATCGCTCGTTTTGCCCTGGTGGTATGATGGTATCAACAGTTTAAAGCGAGGTCAGGGGGGGGAGGGGCCTGATATACTGCTTGTTTCAAAGCGCCATGGAGACAATGCTGATTTTCACTGGCTTTTTCAGTGTTTTGTTTTTGCTTTTCACCCTTAATGTTAATTTAACTTTGTCTAATACTCCGCTCAAGGGGCGTAAAGATTAAGAGTAGGTTGAAAATTAGTGACTGAATGAAAAATGTCCCGTCATTGCTGAAGGTTTTCCTCCAAATTGTCCACCTAAAACTGAAGCACCTTCCGGTAGAATCAAACTCGGAACTGGCAACAGGATGTTAAAAGAGCAGCGTCCCAATTTTGGACCCCTAACTGCGTCGTCGTTCCATTTAAAGGTCACGATGAGTTTCATCTTTTGGGTCAGGCACAGGTCTGACCACCGTGAGCACCACCCTGTCGAGCACATTTTGGTTAACAAACGTTTGTTTTAAGAGCGGGTAAAAAACATTCGGGCTAAAGTAAACGTCCAACTTCAAATCAAATTATGAGTGATTTCAACCCCTTTGCATTTGAATATGTGTACTGAACAGCAATTTCCTACATTTTTAGAGGAGTATTGCCTTGTTCACTGAAAGTCAAAAAGAAGTAAAGATGTTGGGTTTCTGTCCCCCCCTCCCTTCCCTACCGAATACGTCAGCTTCCTTTAAAACACAAATGACAACAGCCTTTAAACCGAATCCCCTCCTCAGCAGGCTCAAGGTTACAGCTCGCATTGATAGCGGGCGCTTTACTGGCAGCTGAAAGGAGTCCGGCGCTGTTTTGTATTCTGCGTCTGTGCGCTGCAACCAAACGCTGCCAAGGCTCCCGACAGAGTTCCCGTAAATAATCCTGCCCGTGTCCTGCCGAACGCGGCTTTCTGTCAGAGGAAAAACTTCTGTGGAAACACCTTTTCTTAATCCCCCCTCGTGCCGTGAAGCGACTTTGCCAGGACAATAGAGCCTTCATGCAGACATGGTGGAATTTAGATCAATATGGAGTTCACGTAGAGCTTCCTCTTTAAAGGAATAACGGTTATCTCCCAAAACGCGAGGCATTGATTGGATTTCGAGTATACATGATGCTTAATGGAGGAAGTGCTCAGTTTCGTAGAGAATAGAGACCAGAGGCGTTCATTTGGGAGAGATCTTGGCAACACCCGGCAGCAGAGACCATACAATGGCTCAGACGTGACTAGAAGAATTCCTAAAGGCTTACCTGCACACATGGGAAACGACACCCACCACCCCCCCCAAGAAAAGCTTGTGGAACCCAAAGGAACCCAGCAGGGAAAAGGAAAAAAATCCCTTTGAGTCAAATGGTTAGACATCAAGCTCATTTGAAATAAAAAGAACACACAAGCGTCAGTGAAAGACTTTTTTGTTTTTAATTGCCGGATGGAGTTGTCCCCCCCCCCCCCCCCCCC